CTGGGCGAAAACCGGCCTGCTCCTCCCTAATCCGAGATTCCCGTTCTGCAGTGAGGCGACGAACGATAATCGAGGCCAGTAATTTTGTCACAACTGGCGTTAGGCTAATACCCCTGTGGTTCGCACAGTCCGTGCGACTGCCCTTCTTGTATATTGCCACTATAATCGATTCGCTCCAATTAGCCGGCACACTCTCTTCGTTCCAGATACGTTCGAATAGGGAGGTCAGTGCCCTGCAGAGGACCTCACCTCCATCCTTAAATAGTGCAGGTGGGAGGGAATCCGGGCCAGCGGCACGAAAACGATTGAGGGCTGTGATCGCGTTTCGGACCTCGGCCTCCGACGGAAGCTCTAAACTAACCGTCCATGGCACGTCCTGCATCACCTGAGTAGGAAGAGGTCCGGGAGCAGGGGGCCTGCTGAACTGATCTTCAAAGTGTTCAGCCCAACGAGCCATACGGCGCACATTATTGTGTATCAGCGCACCCGCGCTGTCCCTGATTGTCTCACTGACGCCTGGTTTTCTGGGACCAGTGGTGCGGATTAGCTGGAAGAGCTTGCGATAATTGCCTACTGCTCCTGCCTCCTCCATTTCTTGAGCCCGACTGGTCCACCAGACTTCCTTGTCAGCAAATGGGCTCCGCTTTAATTCACGCCTAATAGCCCGTCTGGTCACATTGTGTTCAGAACCAGCCGGGAGGTATCTTCTAGCTTCCAACAGGTTCACGGACCTCTCGGATATCCAGTGACTGGTGCGGAGACGATGGATAGTGCCACAAACAGATGCTCCTGCGTCGTGCATAGCGGCCGAGATCCTATTCCACTGAAGTGCAGTGTCATTAGGACAGGACAGCGAGAGTTCGGTATGCAGTGCTTCTTGATAGGCTTGCCTGACAGAGGGCTGGGACAATTTCTCCGTTGCCAATCGGGGGAGACGCTTTGTCCGCCTTCCGGTAAAGTTCATGGAGAAACGACAGCGCACCAGGGCATGATCAGAGTCGACACAGGTACTCCAGTACGAGCGGCAATCCAGAATGGAGCCACGCCACCTGTAACTTATGGCTATGTGGTCAATTTGGGTCCATCGCTGGCCAGCTACAGGTGGACGCCAAGTGGCACTTCGGCGCCCACTGTGTCTAAAAGCAGTGCTACTAAGAAACAACTGGTGCTCCGCACACAGTTGCAGCAGACGCTCGCCGTTGTCAGTCCGTTCGGAGTTAAGTCCATACTTACCACCCAGCTGAGCTTCTGAAGAGCTCAGACGCCCTACTTGTGCGTTCATATCCCCTGCAAGTACTATAATATCTGAACTAGTAGCACTGCGTAGTAGCGCGTTCAGTTCGTCATATAATGTGTCCTTGACAACATCCGAACTGCAGTCAGTGGGAGCATAAACGGAAATCAAAAACAACCAGCGTTTTGTACTACTTCGTGAATCAACCTTAGCTGATGTCGTCAAACGGGCTGCACATAAACGGCTGTTCACCGGAATCCAATCAACCAACGATGACTCAGCCTTGGAGCTGAGAATGATGCCTACACCAGCTTGACCCGTGAGTGCCGCATCGGCGTCTCCGGATGCGTGCAACCAATAACGAGAGGATAAGCCGGGTGCAGTCAATTCAATAACCCCGTTAGGGTCATTAATCCTAGTTTCGGACACACAACACACATCAACACCCAGTGTGTCCAAGGTGCGTGCGAGTGCAGCCTGCTGACCTGTTTGTCTTAGAGTGCGGACGTTGAATGTCGCCATGGAAACGGGACAGCGTGGCCTTATAAGGGACTTTTGCCGATAGGCGTCCGATAGGTGCTGTGGGATGGTGGCTGCAGATGGTACTACTCCAGTAGCACTTCGGTTGCTGTCAATTAAGCTGGGAATTATAGAAGGAAGGTTAGTAATGGGGGCCGGGATAGGAGTAAGAGAAAAAGGTGGAAAAGAAAGAAGGGAAGCGCTAGTAGCAGCATGTTTTCGCTTATCCGCCCTGCTGTATGCAGCAGATAAGGCAACCCTTGATAATCTGCGCGACGGCCGATGCAGGATGTAGTTTATGATTGAAGAAGATGTCATGGTTGTATGTGGGCTGAGATACTGCCAGGGCGCCCAGACCTAGACAGGAGAACGATTAGGGTCCTCATCCAAAGCCTTTGGCTCAAAAGCCTGTCCGCAAGGCAGCGGGGTGGCAGTGATCATCACCCGTTTTTGACACCCGCTTTTGACACAGCTACCATCGCGCCTAGGTTTAAACCACGTATCGTTCATCGCATCAAATGTGAGGAAAAGACTACTGTCCTTGCGCGTCCATAGCTCTCTTGGTGTAGACGACATCAGACCGAAGGCATTAAAGACAGTCGCCATAAATATCACCGAACCGTTAGCTCGGTTCTTTGAACTGCTTGTTAGAAACACTGAATACCCACAAACGTTTACAAGTGGGATCGCGCAGAGCCCTCGAACTTCCGGCCAATCGTTCTTCTACTGGTGCAGAGGCACTCATGAGATACCTTAGAGCAACAACATCTCAGCGTCACATCAGCATGGATTTCGCCGCAATCGGTGCTACACTACGAACTTGCTGCTAACCAGAGTAAGCTGGACGGAATCAGTAGATACCAGAGTAGGAATTGCCGGCGTCTACCTGGACCACTGCATTCTCCTTCAAAAGCTTTGAAGACATTAAATCGGTGACCCTGTGCTCCGTTGGATAAGCAAATTCCTCACTCAATGTCAGCTGAATGCGATAGTCCAAAGCTCCATTTCCGACCCAATTGGAGTCCAGTGTGGTACACTCCAAGAATCGGTACTAGGTCCACGTTTGTTCCTAGCATTCATTAACGACCTTGTCACTGTGCTCTAACCGCAATTTTTGCTGTTTGCAGACGATGTCAAGATCTGGCATGACATCAAGACAGTGGACGATTAAGCGGCAATGTAGAGGGAACCCGATATGGCCTATACGTCGTCATCCGAAGACATGCTCCAGTTCAACGTGCAAAGTTGTGAGCATACGCCATCAGCGTACCTATGAATATCGACTTGGGGGCTGAGTTGCAACATGCTTCCCAGGAAAGCGATCACGTGGTAATAGTGAAGGATGACATTGACCGCACGAAAGGGGCTGTAAAGATATCGAAGAGAGCCAATAAGCACCTTGGACACTTACGGAAGGCTTTCGGAATGTTCGAGCAATCTATCTTTCTGCAAATGCTGAACGCCTACATGAGGCATCAAGGGGAGTGAGCGATCCAAGCCTGGTGTCCCTGGCGCAAACACGATACTGATGCGCGGAAGTTTCACAACGTAGAGTGACAAAATTCTTTAGGCGTTTGTTCTACGTCCCCTACCAACACAGACTGTAATTACTGGGATTGCACAGAGATGAATATCGGCATCATGGTTTACCCAATACTGACAAATCTAAATCATGCCTGTCACAAGCAGCTGCAACTCAGCCACAATATCAACCTGAGAGATACTTAGCTCAAACTAGCTACACACTATGGCCGAATTGATTTAGCAAAAACACTTTCTCCTTTCAAATATTCAGAACATAGAACGCACTTACAACTCACGTCATTTTAACCCCAACATTAACGCTTTACAAAAAACGCCATGACGACACACTATCCCACTTGCATTATGTGATTTAGTTAGTTTCACTCAGAAGATGAAATAACCAAAACCAAACTACATGCTCACCAGCCTTTTCTCTCACACAGCGGTGAGGAAACCTACATGTGGACAGCTTAGTGAGTTGCTTAAAATCCGCATTGCCCAGCTTTTATGTCATCTTTTGGTAACCTATGGTTTCATAATCCGCACTCTGGTCCTCCTACGGGACTTGTGAAGCAACCGCTTTTTTGTCCGTCATAGGTCATCGTCCAATGTATAACCGGTAGTTCCTTGGCACAGACTGTATCACAGAGGATAACTAAGTGTAAAACTGACCGCTCGTGTCAACAGTATAACACAGCGGGTCCACACGTACTAATAAAGGTGACAAAGTTACCTCTTCCGAGTCGCAGGCGAAGGGTCATCAATCGTGGGCTGATGCCAGTCGACTCTTCCACAAGCTCGCAGTAGCAGTGTAGTGTAGAACCGGCCCCATGTTTACGTGGTGTTGTGGTGGCGTTCCCCACTCATTAGAAAGTGTAATGAGCAGCTTGCCTTCGTCAGCGAACCGAGTCTGAGTGCTACAATAGCTATACCGTACCGCATGAGTTCCACCGTGACTAGTACAGTGCGTTGCTCGAGACGCTCACTCGTGTTCCGGTCGGTCAGTGTGCGTACGTTTCAACACCCGATGTTGTGTTTGCGCAGAGGCATACGAACGTGCCGAGCACTAACTCGTGTGGTGACCTGGGCTATAGAAAATTACGGGTTAGTTGAAAATGGGAACGAGAAGATAATGCGTAAGGGAAGAAGAAAGAAAGGGGACGTCCGCAACAGCATGTTATCGCTTATCCACCCCGCTGTATGCAGCAGATAAAGCGACCCTGTTCGCTCCCACCACTGCGGGACAGCCGATGCTGCATAGAAGTAGCTGTATTAGTTTTTGGACTATGATACTGCCAGGGTGTCCACACTTGAACAGGAGGAGAATTCGGGTCTTCAGCCAAAGCCTTCGATAAAGCGGGAAGTGCGCTGAGTTAACAAACCGACTCACGCGGAATCGTGTGTCCTGAATGTTAGTTAGAAGAGTGTAACCCAACTCAAATCCAGCGGTCGCCAGGAGAAGCCATCCAGGACACGAGTATACAGACACAATATTGGTAGCAGTGGGTCAACGATCGGTCAGGATCTCGCCACCACAAGCCTCAGGGAGCCATGGACTCTCCTGTAGATCTACGGAAACAACCTCAAGTAGGGTGGAATTCCTCACTTTTCATAACCTATGAAAGAAAAGTCCACTAGAACAAAAACGTGAAATGATGAGAACACCAGTATAAGGGAAGTCTACGATCACGGGAAGTTGATAAAACACGTCTGCAGCACTCACATTGGACAGGACGTGAATGTAAAGAAACGGTTTCATGGAGCCCAATGGACGGATGGGTCGACCAGTGGAAAGCACCTTCACCGGCGCCTGAAGTGCTTCGATGTCGAAACGAGTGAAGTAAACATCTATGTGCACCGGATATGGTGAAGTCCATTTGGAATGACGCCATAAGGCAGGTTCAGATGCCAAACTTTGCATCAACCGCGATTCTAGCTCAGATACTAGGCTTTCATGGCCAAAACCTAAAATCGAAAGCAACTGATTAGCATGGCATGCGGGACACTGTTTAATAGAATAAAAAGCAACAACAAGAGAGAAAAAGAACGACAGCGGAAATACTAAGTCCAGAGAAAGAAATGTTTCGGACACATACCCAGTTGTGTTGTTTTTAAAATGCAGCAGGGTCCTTGTTCTAGCCTAGGTAAGAATTCTCAGCCTGACGCCACAATAACTCTATTAATCCCGCTAGTTGGTCCATCCAAGAGCCACAGACGGGGTGGGGGCGCAAAAAGCGCATTAGAAAGCAAAATACCCTAGGTTGGGCGGCTCTTGAGGTAACGATACCTGAACGAGTGATAGAAGGACTAATGTCGCAGTAATGGGTTTGGATGGTTGCAAGATCTCTCACTGTAACAAGTGAGAGAAAGTCACAATCGGTAAGGGAACGATGGTTTGAAATTGGGTTGAAAGAGGGCACGAGGAAAAGCATCATTCATGTAAAGTGCTTAGCATGACCCAATGTCATAAAAAGGTCGGACAGAATCGCATTGGGACCTCATTCACATCACGTATCCAAGCCAAGTTCAACTGAGAACACCGTGACTGCATGCAACGACCGGAAAGCTCCAGATGGATAAAAGTCAACTCTCCTTCCTGTTTTGGTAGAATAGCGTTTTAACATTGTCGTAATCGTAGACAACTAGCTCTAAAGAGTCGACAGGAATGAAATGTAGCAAGTGGTAGGGAATTAGTATGCTGCAAGGAAAATCTGATCCCCGTAACTTGCAAACAAGATAGTTTCTGGCAAAATACTAACACATTTATCGGATCAGACTGCGATGTTGGGCTTCGCCCTGGTGACTGAATCGATGATATGGATTATGTTGACAAAATCGCTTTGCTTAAGGATGATCCACAAGCCATCCAGAGTACTTCAAACTGCTTAGAGATGGATGCGTCTAAATATGGTCTGTATTTCACCCAAGACATTGTACCAGGATTGGCAGGTGCCTATTCCTGCTCTCACTGATGGTGGGGATGTTCCGGAACAAGTCCTTTGCTTCACTTATTTAGAGAGTTGTATCACGGCTGGCGGCGGTGTTAGAGATGTTATCTCACAACTGATCGCAAGTCAAGTCAAAGTAGGCTTTATGCGCCCGGGTAGGGGCATTTTCAGTATGTAACATCATCACTGCGAATGGTGAAGCATATTAAATACAGTTAATGAAAAGATAGTATGTCTAAAAAATGTCCACATATATCACTCGTATCATACTGATAGCTTTGGTTGTCAACAATCAAGCGGGACAGGTACGATAGAACAGATTGCGGCTAGATGTGACACGAGAAAATAAGACCTTAAATTTGGAAAGGTAGATGAAATAGATAGTGCTTTTGATAGGTCACAATGTAGCGGATGAAGAGGGCCATTTAGAATTTTCAAGGAAAAACTGGTACAAGCCTCTAGATGCTTGCTAACAATAAGATCCACAAGGGACTCTCTAGACAATACTTCGCATCTGGAAATAAGCTTTACATAGCGTTCAATCAATGTGTAGTTTTCATTGACTAACCCAGAGAAAATTACAGGGGAACAGTAGAGCTAAGGCGGCAGAATGTAAGTAGTCACGAATCTAAGAATTAAACCATGAGGCATTGATAATACTCTAAGTCGAAGAGCGTAAAATGAAAACCGTCTTAACTTACAAAAGTTTCGACAGCGTGAATAGACTAAGTTTGGGGATAAAGACTCCTAGACATTTAGAACTTGACGATCTGGGTATGAACTGGACACCCACTGCCAATGGAGAAGTGGCGCCCGAAAACATTCGTAACTTGTCAGCTCGCAGAATCCAGAATGTTACGCCGAGACATCTATGGCGTCATCATAATGTCAGTTGCGAGTACATGGGCAGAGTGTACAATGCCTCCGTCCACGGCTATGGGAACTATCCTATTTTCTCAGAAGACATGAAATGATTACCAGTTTTGACAGTCGTTGTCTGCGGTGGATTTCTCGCATGTAAGCAACGCAGAAGCAAGAGACCGAGTGCTTGGAGCAAACAGACCCTGCCACTAAAATGATATCCTCCGACACCCCATGCGCAGGTTAGGCCACGTAGTGCATAAGCCAGCCTTTCGCCTTCCCTGTCGAGCATTGTGTGTGCTAACCGGAAGTGGTTGGAAAAACTGTCGTGGTGGGCAACCAATGACGTGGAGGAGCATGAAGAAGACAACCTCAAGGTTTGCATCCGTCGGACAGATTTGTCTTCCAGGATGGAGAACATGCGACTCAGACTTTCAGTGGTTGGAAAAGCTGAATGTTATGGCGCGCAACAGATATCAGTGGCGAGAGTGTTGCATTACCGCATAAATTGTTGATTGAGGTCTAATCGAACATAAAAACTTCCGTAGCAAACATTAAAATGGTGCAAAATCCAAAAAATCGGTTTCTTTTGCTACTGTATTTTGTTCCCCATTTTTGCCATGGTTCTGATGTCTGCAATCAGACTGTGAATCTATAAGTCAGCATGCACAGTTCGCGATGATTCTAAACTAACTATGGTTCCTCAAAGTCTGAAGTTCGCCTAGGTAGATGCATTGGGGGACCACAATAAATGTTTAGCCGAAGCTCCTAGCAACTTGGTGGCAAGATGGTGCCACGTTTATATAAGGCTGAACGGGAGTACAACTGCATAGATGAATCAACTAAGTTTGAAAGCTGGCGTCACGGATATCTATCCTCCGGTTCACTTGAGGTTGCCAGTATGGGTCAGCAGAGATAGCAGGAGTTCCCTTCTGAAGTTGTTATAAAAAATTCTTTGCAGACATCCAAGTATTAGTACCAGTTAGCAAGGATGTGATAACGGACACGAGAGTGACGACACTGTCCCGCATTTAACTGCGGCGGTTCACTATGACGATCGGCTGGATGATTGAGATTGCGAGTCCTACATTTGAAATTACTTTAGTAAAACAGTCGGTTCGAAGCGCTTAGTTCTGGTCTGCAAGATAAGTAATGGCACGATCAACACTAATGACTGCTGAATGAAAACATGGGCAAACGAACAGTAACGGATGGCTCGGTAAGAAGACACTCACCCGTAAATCATATGGCACATCACCTTAACCCCAGAAGAACGAAGGAAAACAGAACCTTTGCCGCAAAAACTACTCATATTCCGACAGGAGTACAAGACATCAAAGCTCATCTGTACGAACAACTTCACGACAGCCTTATGCAGCTCAAAACACGATAGTAGAAATGGAGTGCGAGCAACCAATCATAGACGAGCAAGGTGAAGAGGCGGTATTTACGAAGCGGGAAGGCGTAGATAGGGGTATCACAAAAGCTAAGAACCGCAACGGAGATTTTTGGTTAGATGTTTAAAATAGGGTCATTTTTAGGGAAACGGAGCGAGCAAACATCGATCCGACGTCAAACGATCCTGGATATAGTCAACGTTGCTTCTGTTGAAAGCAGTTTTGCATCCACATAGAGACGAATACATTTTGAATCTAATTGAAAACAATCCAGTATAATGCAAAAACATGGACCAAGCCCAAATCAGAGCGGATACCTCGATAGACTAAGTGATCACAAGCATGAATAGAGGAATACAACACTATCGGCAAAGCAAGTGATACCTAGAGCTTTCAGTTGCCATTTGGAGCCACAACTCTATCACACAATGATGATTCCAGTGATTCCAAGTCATGATGATTAGCAATCGATGAAATTAGGGTATAGAGAGCCAAATCAAAACGGTTGTGTTTTCTGATAGAAAACTCATTAAGTGTAACCAAATTAAACCCAAGGCATCCCTTCACAGGAAAGAAATCGCGTGCCGTAGCCGCGTCCCCATCTGAAGTGGCAGTGTATCATTCACAGATAGGGGATCAAAAGACTGTCCGTGTGGTTGTAGCGCATACGCAGGAACTAATTGCGTCAGTTCTGCTGTACGTCACGGAAACACAGAAACGGGATGTTATGTTACGTGATAAGTTACATCACAAACTCAATTGAGTAGTTCTATCCTTCGGTATGTGCTTCGCGCTTTGTAGGTGTAAAGTGCCGTTGTAGAACCACCATCTTGCGATTCTTGACGATGACAAACTGGAGTTCGTGGAACTAGGCAGCATAAACATATGTTGAAGCTATCGATGGACACCGTCCAGTTGTTTGCAGTCTGCATACACAAGTGGCTCATGGTTGGTATACACAGTAGCCTTACGCCGCAAAGTGCAACCATTGAAACCTTATATTGTATGGATTACGGCAAGCATCTTCTGTTCAATTTGTGCATAGCGTCCCCCGGTGGCCGAATGGATTACACGCTTGCCTTGTAATCGCGAGTTCGACGGTCTGAGTTCGCGTAGACGACCCCATGATATAAGCAAGCAACACGCGACTGATTGTGGCACCGTGTCAGTGAGGCGTATACTCGATGCCTTGCCTTGCCTGCGGAGCGCTGCCCATGCCAATTGAGACGAATGCGCGCGCAATGATAAGGAGCTTACGCTAGTGCCAATGATAGTCGTCGTTTTCGTATATCAACAAATGCGAGGGGTATACCGGGTATACTAAATCTCCGTTTACCGAGAACAGTTTTGTTTTGTTTACTTAAAGTCGGATGGTGCAAGGGTCCGATAGAAGCGGCCATTAAGCCGGCAGACATGAATCGAGCCTCTACCAATAGCTTGGGTGCTGCTCACCAACCCCGCCTTACAGATTGGAATCAACACAAACAACCTTGTAGTTGACTGTATTTGGCTTGTGATTTACACCGGTGGTGCGTATGCAGTCAGCTACAGTTGGCCTGTCGGTTCAATGTATGTTTGATGCAGGTTTATCGGTGGGTAGGGTTAAGAATCCGGCGAAACAGTGAAAGCCACAACGAAACTGCCAGGTTATTGAGGTCCTACCTACACACGATACCCAGTCGCCTGTGACTGTGTGTTAGCTGCAAGATGCAGTCACTTCGATCAAGGATGTCTTACTAGGCATTTAAGTTTCACATCATTTCTCTTTTCTCATTCCACACTAGTATGGCAATTGTGGTTTGATACTAGTGCAGAGTATCGGGGGTTACAATTGAGGAGATACAGGTTGTCTTTTTACCTTAGTTTAGCTATAATAAATGGCCCGTGATGAAGGGTTGCCAACCTCTGAGTTAACTGTTAAGTTTGGTTATAACTGATGCGAACGTTGACAAGGTGCGCAGTCGTCTGTTGTCGCTATCTCGATTACTCCAAAAGTAACAGTAGCTCGGGAGACTTGTTCAGTTATTTTGGTGTTCGTTGAGTTGGGCAAGTTGACTGCAGACGTTTCATCACCATTCGTAGTGACATCAAGGATGGTGATGAGAGGTTGCAATCAAGTTGCCCAGTTCGACGAACATTACACAAACTGAAGCGCGATTGTCGCCAGAACACAGTAACTCGTTGTAGGAGGAGATGAAATGCAGTCCTCGAGGCAGCACAATGCATAGATAGTAACCTCATCATGTAAGTGGTATGTAGGATTCCTACCTTTACAGAGGGAAATTGCATATCGAAGGAATGTAGGCTAACTCTGAACCAATCGTGGCTCTCATCCGCATGTTTCTCAGTCTGATTTCTTTGGATACAAACTAGATGAAAAAGGAGTCGGTAGTGTAATGCTAGACAACCACAGACACCATGTGAGTTGTAGTGTCCTATGGCTGTTTGTAATCAAAAGAATAAGCAAACATGGAATGGAACTGTGTCAACTACGATGATGTGTTAGTGTTGCTTTTAACAGTATAAGAGATCCAATCCGTTTTCCTTCAAAATAGTCACGTCACAGCTAGGCTGTAATACGGCTGCCGCCAACCGGGAACAGGCTGGAAGGCCGCTTCGTCCTATTGGGACTCGTCAACACAGTGCCAACTGTTAAATGAGTGGGTGTGCGTTTGAATCTTGAAGGATACCAATAGGTGCTTGCCACTGATTAGTCCCAAGGAAAATAAACGACTGTCCAGGGCTTTTCCTGATGGTGATTGCTGTATGGTGAAACCAAGTAGAAAGATTCAGATCCTACTACTACTACTAATCACAATTTGTGTTGCAATCCGCTTTGCAAAATACTTGGGAACCCCTACCAGAATAACAGTGAACTCCAGTGGATGCCTGTTAAGAGAAATGACCGTTACACAGGTGCAATAAACTCGCGTACTACCTCAGGAAATATCTGTAATGACTGCTAGTCAAACTTACATGACAGAACTGGTTTGGGAACATCCACCATGTGAAGACCCGAGTTGTACAGCGAGTTGTGATGCAACACCTGAAAAGGAGACAAAGCTGATGGACGCAAACAAGGAAGGTAGAGGCACACGTAGAAACCATGAGTAATGCTAAAACATCATTAATATACACATTAGCTAGAGTTGGAAAACACCTCAGCTATTGTGACGCATTACATAAAGAAAAGAATAGAGAAAAGATGCCTGCAACCGAGGCACGCCAGCTGAGCTACCAGCAACGGATTGACATTGACATTTTCCACCTGAGAGAAGAGGAGAATTTCCGTCTACCAATACCGGCAGACCTCCTGAGACAGTCGTTATTACTTTGCCCGGAGAATGTTGCTTTCCGATTCCAGCACACCACATATAGCCAAATTGATGGAGTGGCTCTGAGTAGTCCATTGGGCCCGGCATTGGCTGATTTTTTCATGCTGATGCTTGAGAGGAAACTAAGTGGAGAGATTTCTCAGCTGCCGTATTATAAACGATATGTAGATGATATCCTTGTTTTTGGTTCCACGAAGATGCAAATCGAACAAGTAGTAGACCAACTTAATAATGTTTACGCTAACCTGAAGGTGACTTTGGAATTCGAATCCAATGTCTGAAAATTGTCAAACAGGAATCGGACGACTTTGAGGCCCTAGCAGACATGATTAACCGTGAATGTGAACGTTTCAAACTACGTTCTTTAACGGACGATCAGTTTAAGTGTCTCATTTTCGTCAGCGCTCTATAATCCACCAGTGATGCTGAGATCCGCACGCCGCTTTTAGCTAAGCCGGATCAGGATCCTAATCTGACATTGAAGGCCCTCGTAAGCGAATGCAAACGGCTTCTCACTCTAAAACACACAACCAGATACCGTGCAACTCGTGGAAAAGGCCAGGACCGTCAACCGAAGCAAACCCTTCAAGAAGCCGACGAACAAACTGCCCACAGTATGCTGGTCATGCGACGAATGGCATTTCGCGCGCTTTTGTCCCTTCAAACACCATATTTGTCAAACTTGCCATAAGCGTGGGCATCAAGTGGAATGCTGCAGTCAGGTCCGGTCGAAGAAAGTGAAGTCTTATCGAAAGGGGAATTCTAGTAAGGATGGCGCCGAGTCTCTGTCCATAGTTGCCGCATTCCAAAGCGAGTGTAAACCGATACGACGATTTATCAGTGTGTTGAGCAATGGGATGCTAACAAAACTGCAATTTGACACGGCCTCGGACATCATGGTTATTTCCAGGAGCACATGGAGTCACATAAAGAGGCCGAAGATGATCGAGCCTCAGAAAGTTGCACACAATGCATCCGGCGGTGTGTTAAACTTAGTGGGCGAACTTACTAGCAAGACTGCATTCCAAGGTGTGGAAAAGTCGGGAACATGCTACATTTCAGACCGGTCGAATTTGAATCTTCTTGGTCTTGACTGGATTGAAAAGTTGAAACTCCTCGATGTTCCCTTGAGTAAGATCTGCAACCGAGTTCGAGCAAGTCCAGACCCATCAACAAAGTCCGTCGAAGACATGACACGTACCCTGGGGCGAAAATTTGTTTGTCTTTCAGGATGGCTTGGGCCACTGTACGAAATTCAAGACAACGCTGAAATTGCGACCAGGTGCTAAACCAGGGTTCAAGGCTAAAAGACCGGTACCATATGCAGTCATGTCAACCGTTGATCAAGAACTCGATCGACTTGAACGTGCCGGAGTCATCACAGCCATCAACTACTCATCATGTGCCGCACCTACTGTCGCAGTGAAGAACGCAAATAGCAAGGTACGCGTCTGCGCTGACTCCTCAATTGGCCTCAACGCCGCGCTGGACGACCATCAGTACCCATTACCTGTACCGGAAGATACCTTTGCAAAGCTGAATGGTGGTAAGTAATTTGCTAAGCTTAATCTATCCGATGCGTATCTTCAAGTAGATGTTGACGAAGTCTCGAGGGAGTTGCTGACGATCAACACTCATCGTGACCTATTCCAATACAATCGTTTGCCATTTGGTGTAAAAACGCCGTCAGCCATTTTCCAACAATTGATGGATACCATGCTTACGGGCGTTCCAAAAGTTACTAAGCCATGGTGCCGCATCCGTGTAGACTGCGGGACCGATCAACGGCAGAAGTTTCCTCACTATAGTCGACTCATACAGCAAGTGGTCTGAAGTATTTCTTATGGATAGCACAACCACCAATGCCACCGTATCGAAACTGGCCAAACCTTCAACAGATTCGGCTGTCCTGAGAAAATTGCCCCTGACAATGGCTCACAATTTACTTCAGCAACGTTTACGGAGTTTTGCAAGCAATGCGTCGTCCAGCACGTTCGCTCGTCTTCGTTTTACCCACAGTCGAATGGCCAGGCAGAAAGGTTTGTCGATACGTTCAAGCGAGCTCTCCACAAATCAAAAATGGAGGAACGTATAGAGGAGGTGGTTGATCGGTTTCTTTTCCTCTACCGATCAACACCGAAACCACAAGCGCCAAACGGAGTTCCTCCAGCACAGGCCATGATGAACCGGAAGCTCCGCATGCCTTTCGACGCCATCCGACCGCGCTCGGAGTCCTCTGTTGGTGAAAGAAACCGCAGAATAGTACAGGATTTTAACCTGCGGCATGGAGCAAGGAAGCGATCTTTTACGCTTGGACAGAAGGTGATAGTACGTAACTATCGGAAAGACCATGCGAAATAGACGTCAAGGACGGTCAAACGCAACCGCGGAAACGTCACGTATGACGTGATGGTGAGCGCAGGTCTGGGCACGGTATGCAAACCAGTTACGGCCCACATCTTGCCAACCAGAACAAGCAAGGCCTACTGACCTCCCGTTCGATTTACTGGTGGAAAGCTTCAACCTGCCGAAGGTAGCAGTGGACGACTGCACACAATCGAGCAGACTCCAGAACAAGAACATCGGAACAAAGTGCTCGGGCGCTTCTGCTAAGGAGGTGGACCGACAGGTAGAGAACGCCGTCCCGAAGACTGCAAGTTAATTCTAGGCTTTCGTCATATACCTCGGACGACATCTCAGGAGTGGATGTGTCCGGAAGAAAGTAAGAATTGCCCAGGAAATCCACTATTTTAGCGATTAATCAATTATTAACGATTATCGCATCGATTTCGAACGTTCCAGAATGTTCTAGTTCTGCACGTGACTAGTTAAAATGAGACCGGAACAGTAGGAAAATCCCGCGAATGTTCCACCTTCGAAAACGTCGTTGATCCAACAGGGGAACCGGTGCCTTGATGTGCCAAAGGAGAGCCAAATAGACACACACGATTCACATGGTCAACCAAACAATGCCCACGTGCCTTGCACTAGCAGTCCCCGCTGTGTCGGCCACGTGAAGAATAAAAGAAAACAGTAGTGTCAGTAAAGGAAAGGAAACAGAGAAGAAGACAAGCTTATCGAATTTCGTAGGCAATATTAAGATGTAAGTTAAAATGAGTTAAAGAAGCGTAGGCCATGGTAGACGAGTAAAGTTTAAGACATGAAGGGTAAGACTTTAAACTGCAGACCGAGAACTTCAATTCGATGCTCGAACTCGAGCCATCGGTGCCAGCACGATGTCTGCAGGCGATGCGTTCTAATAAGCTATGACCTTATGCGATAACCGAAAAGCTGCCCAAACCCGGTCAGACCGGGGTTTATGCAACTTTAATGCGTGGCCACGAAGGGTTAGCACTCGAGTCGGGCGAAACAGTCCAGTCAAATCAGGACCAATCTGACCCATTAATATACAAGATATGAGGACCAAGTCGCCCCGAAGCCGCCTGTAATACATAGAAAACATATGCAAATTACGTTGCCTCTCCGGGTACGTCAGCTTCTTTAATCCGAGAACCATTTTCGTCCCGGATCGCAGGACTCGTTCAACTGCCCTCTTATCACGAACCAGGCATAGAGGACAAGCCTGAACGCAGTATTCCAAGTGCGGCCTTACGAAAGCCGAAAATAGTCTAACGAACATTTCGGTGGTCATGATCCCGAATGACCTGCGGATCACTCACCACATGTTGGAACCTTAGCGAGCAGCTGTTGTCCAGTGTTCACTGGACTGATGACAGCAAAACACCGAGGTCAGATTGGAGTTGAACTCGCGGTACCCTCGTTGCTGCCAAGCAAATAACGCGTCGGAGGATCATTCGGACCAACGCGTATAACTGAACATTTCGCTAAATTAACGAGCAACTGCCACAAAATTGACCAGTCCCAAAGTCTATTCAGAGCCCTCTGTAGGGTCAGTGGACCAATCGGATCGTCTATCCTGAACCACAGTTTCAAGTCATCCGCAAAAATTAGGGATGGCACTCAATTCATCAGGTAAGTCATCAACCTATAAAGTGAAGAGAAGGGAGCCAAGGACCGAACCTTGTGGAACTCCACTGAGAACACATTGGCGGAAGGACAGGCTTGAACCCACCCGCAAACACATTTCCCTTCCGATTAGGAAAGCTGAAATCCATCGTAAGACTGGTCCAGAAATACCATAGGAATTCAGCTTGTACAAAAGGCGCGAATATGGAACGGTGTCAAAAGCTTTGGAAAAGTCAAGAAACAGCACGTTCACTGCCTTCCCACAATCAACGGCTTCGACCCAGTGTTCACGAGTCGTTAACAAATTAGTAAGGCAAGAATAGCCCTGACGAAAGACATGCTGAGAAGGATTAAGCATCTCAAACGCTTTCAAGTGTCCTTCGAGAGCGTCCCTAACGAGCTTTTCCAACAACTTGACCAGCACACTTGTTAAACTGACCGATATATAGTTACTATGGAGGTTTATCACCTTTCCTAAAGATGGGACAAACAAAAGCTTCCTTCCAGTCCTTGGGTAGAGAGCAGCCTCGTAGAGACTTCAAGAAAAGTTGCGTAATCGGACGGCAAAATTCGTCAGCCAACTCATACAACAGTTTGGGATGAATAGCATCCCCACCGGTAGCTTTATTGGGATTTAATGGCCTCAGAAGTCGGAGCACTTGAGCCTCCGTTACAGAAACCTCCTCCAAGTGGGAGCCCTCAAGAACTTTTGCCTGGAGGCTGA